AGGCCACACCAAACCAATAAAATCAGAATCTCTGAGAATGGAACCCAAGCACTAGTCATTTAAATTCCCCAGGTGATCCAAATGTGTAGTCTAGGTTGAGAAGCACTGAGGAAATGGAACCTTGGCTTTGGAGCTATAAACACCTGGATGTAAATCTTGGGCAAGCTACTTAATTTCCCTCAGCCCTAAAATTCTCATCTACAAATGAGGATAATGCACACGTCTTGGTTGCTGTTAGACTGAGATTATATATAAAGCTCTCAGTAAATGTTAATCTCATTTCCAGGGTAATCTTGATGAAATCTTTATTGTGTGAAAAATGCTAATTCAGTTACCAATTCATGTCATTCTTGTTTACCTTATTATTAGATTGAACATTTTCATGGACAAGTTTAGAAATGCTAATTTTTTTCACTTTTCTGATAATATGTTGCCTGAAGTTAATTCTATTTTAAATCTATGAGTGACTGCCCGAACCGGTTTGGCTCAGTGGATAGAGTGTCAGCCTGCGGACTGAAAGGTCCCAGGTGCGATTCCAGTCAAGGGCATGTACCTTGATTGCAGGCACATCCCCAGTGGGAGGTGTGCAGGAGGCAGCTGATTGATGTTTCTCTCTCATTGATGTTTCTAACTCTCTATTCTTCTCCCTTCCTCTCTGTAAAAAATCAATAAAATATATTTTTTTAAAAAATCTATGAGTGACTAAACTCTGGAGGGAACTCTAGCTAATCATTTAAACCAATGATTCTCAAACCTGGCTGCAAGTTAGAATTACCTAAGAAGCTTTTTTTCAAAATGCCAACATGAAATGTTTAAACCTCATCCAGGTCAAGTAAACCAGAATCCCTAGTGGGGAGGGGGGAGTCTGGAACATCACTGTTATTTTTTTAAAGCTAATTGAACAGTGATTCTAAAACAGCTTCAGGGCTGAAAAATGTTGCTCTGTACTGATAAACCATGCTCACTGCACATCCGAGTCACTTGGGGCGCTCTTAAAAAGCTGATTGATCCCGGCCTGCATGGTTCAGTGGTTGAGCATCAACCTATGAACCAGAAGGTCATGGTTTAATTCCAGGTCAGTGCACATGCCCAGGCTGTGGGCTCAATCCCCAGTATGGGGCATGTAGGAGGCAGTCAACCAATAATTCTCTCTCATCATTCATGTTTCTCTCCCCCTTGCCCTTCCTCTCTGAAATCAACAAAAGTATATTTTTTAAAAAGTAGATTGATTCCACAACCCTGTCATGACTTACTGATTTAGAATCTGTGGACGTAGAGCCTATATTTTGCAAAGCTTCATAAAACTCTCCCTGGTGATTCTGATGCAAACCCACTGGGAACCCTGCTTCATTTCATGCACTTACTCTCCTTTTTGCGAGTTTTCACTGGCCTCCCATGCCATGCCTTTCTACTTACTTTTAAGCAGTAACTGATGCCACACATCACAGCAAGTCTAAATTTTACAGATCTTTTCAGAACACTTTTATATACAGTACAATGACAACATTCACCATACGCTGTACCCAGCACCAGCTGTGTAGTCCATTGGCCTTTCTAAAAATCCCTCCCATAGGCTGCCCATTTGGGAAACACAAAATGGTATCACATTAAGCCTTATTTATAAGTGACATCCAATGCCTAGACCAGGGGTGGGCAAACTTTTTGACTCGAGGGCCACAATGGGTTCTTAAACTGGACCAGAGGGCCGGAACAAAAGCATGGATGGAGTGTTTGTGTGAACTAATATAAATTCAAAGTAAACATCATTACATAAAAGGGTACGGTCTTTTTTTTAGTTTTATTCATTTCAAATGGGCCGGATCCGGCCCGCGGGCCGTAGTTTGCCCACGGCTGGCCTAGACTAATGAAATGAACATCATTGGTCAGATGTGTCTGAATGAAGTCTGAGTTGTTAACTGCACCAATAAGCATATTGTTATGTTTGCTTCCATCAGAGAGATAATAAAATCAAAGGAAACAAAGCTGATGCCTGAGTTGGGAGCATTAGCCAAATGCCCTGCAATTTTTAAATTCACTCTAGACACAGTCACAGGACACATCCTATCTAATAAAGAGGAAATATGCTAATTGACCCTCACGCAGTCGAAAGATTGTGGCACCGAAAGCCAATAAGGAGGGAATAGGCTAACTGACTGCCACGCCCTCAAAGATGGCAACACTCACAATCACAAGATGGCTGGCAGGGGAGGGCAGTTGTGGGCAATCAGGCCAGCAGGGAAGGGCAATTAGGGGTGACCAGACCAGCAGGGGAGGGTAGCTGGAGGCAACCAGGCTGGCAGGGGAGGGCAGTTGGGGGCAATTGGGCTGGCAGGGAAGCAGTTAGGCGTCGATCAGGCTGGCAGGGGAGTGGTTAGGGGGTGATCAGGCAGAAGTGGTTAGGGGCAATCAGGCAGGCAGGCAGGTGAGTGGTTGGGAGCCAGCAGTCTCGGATTACAGAGGGTGCAGGCTGGGCTGAGGGACACCCTCCCAGTGCATGAATTTCATGCACCAGGTCTCTAGTCCTATATAATAAAAGGGTAATATGCAAATAGACCAAACGGCAGAACAACCAGAACACCTGTGGCCACTTGCCTGGCCCAGCCCCGCCCCCATCACCCCCCTCCCTGATCAGGGGCAGGGCCACCTGGCAAATCTCCCAGGGCCATTTGCTCCAGCCAGCCTGCCTCTGCCAGACCCCATCAGGGGCAGGCCAGCTGGACCCCACCAGTGCACAAATTCGTGCACTGGGCCACTAGTTACTTATAAGAAAGTCAATCAATCAGCACACATACCACCATGGTTGCAGGACCAGGCAAATGATAATAGCAGCATTTAAACAACAAGGCTTATTACATGCATTAAGTCATGTCATCCTTTAGGCAGGACTATTATTATTCCCATTTCATGGATAAAGAAACAAAGGTTAAATTTGCTCCTAGTCACATAACTAGTAAGTGGCAGCATTACCTTTACTGCACCACAGTGTAGATAAGTGATGGCCAAGCAGTCATTTTTCAAAAAATTAAAGTCTGCAGCAGAAAATGGAGATCAAGCTATATGTACCTTGGATGAGTTACTTAACTTCTCTGAACCTATTTTTGCATCTGAAGTTTAGATATAATAATAGTACTCGCCTCACAGAGTCGAGGTCCCAAGATTATATATATGATGTGCTTAGACAGTGCTTGGCACTTTTAAAAGTTGTCAATATCAGCCACTATCATTATTTGTACAGTTATCATAATACATCCCAAGTGGTCAGGGAGAAATGACAAACTATTAAAATGAAAATCGCCCTAGTGATCTTACAGCTGTGGATTCCGTAGACTCCCAGTACATCAGATCCAATATGAAATACCTAATAAAAGATTTTCACAAAAACTTATGCACTGCCACTGTGACAAATCTGTAGTGCATCCAGTCCAAACTATGAATTAGTCCGACAATGGAGAGCTCTATTTTGCTTATTTTTAGCAAACATCCTCAATTTTCAAGCTATATAAATGCAACTTAATAAGAAGTCAGACTCCAAGAAGCTGCAAACTGCAGTGGTCTCTAGTTTGGCTGGAAAACATGTGACAGAAGATCCCATCAGATTGTAAATGTCATCCCTCCTCAGTCCCATTTATATAAACTAAAGAAAAAATGAGAATTCAAACAAAAATATGTAACATTCATCCTATACTTCTCACTGTACTGGTACCCATGCATTATCTCTTTTAATCTTCACAGCACCCTCCCAGGATGGAACATTCCCACAGAAAACCACACAAGCCCCAATGGTTAATCTCACTTTAAATTCATGACTACACATCTCAAACGGGTACTCAACACTGCCTAACAATCCAACTCCATTTCCCTGGTTAGTTCACTTTCCCACTCTCCAGAAGGACTGTGTCCCTTTTCTCTCCTCCAAGTTCCAGCATCTCTTCCCCTCTCTTCTGCTGCCCTTACTCTCAGCCAATGACTGCCTTCACAGACCTTGCTTCTATACTACCTGCATCTGCACCCGTTATCTTGGTGCTCCCTCCAGTTAGTGTAAAATATGTGTTCCTGCTCATTTCAAAGCCAGCTGTCCACCTGCTCTATGATTTCTCAGGCACTCTCAGGTATTCAAGGAGCTCCCCCTGCAATGTTACCCTCTCGTATGTATCATGTTTCCTTCTCTATGAGTTTGAGCCCACTGCCATATAAACATATTCTTTTTCCCCATCTTAAAAAGAAAACAATCTCCCTTGTTGTAAGGCCCTTTAGTCCACCAAAGTTGTTCTTGTTAAATTAAAATCCTCCTAATTGCCAAGGCCATCTTACACAGGATTCACCAGTTGACCATCACCTTCCCCCGTTTTTGGCTTCCCTAGATAGAGCACATGCTCCACCGCCCTAGATGGTTTCATCCTTAGTTTCAATACCAGGTATATGGTGATGATTCCAAAGATCAATTCTAGCCCTGACATTCCCCCAGGACTTCAAACTCAAAATTTCCAATGGCTTATGTGACATCTCAACTTAAGTATCTACTAGGTGAATTTTGCTATATATATTTTATCACAATAAAAACTAAATCGATCAGATGATTGACAGATGGGAGAGGGCTGGAGATAAGAATAGATGTGTGAAAAAAGTAAGAGTAGCTGAATGTTAATGGTGGGATGGAGGTGGTGGGTATAAAGAGTTCACTGGAAAATTTTTTCAACCTATACTGTTTCAATGTTTTATGTCGGAAAAATCCTACTAGGCAACTCAAACCTAACATATTGAAAACGTAATTCTTGATTCTATCCCTTCCAAATAATCAGGAACCTTGACTATCTTGTTCATCAATATTCCCAACTTCTAGAACAGCACATACAAGGTGTTCAAACAGCTGTGGAATTAACTGACGCATTACGCTGTGTCTACGGCCCTCGAGCCGGTCCTGTAGTGGGAATGTTTTGGCTCCAAAACTGCCCAGCCCCGGCCGGCCAGGCCGCGGCCTAGACCTGGCTATGGCTTCTTACCGGTCAGGTCACATCAGCTCCATGCTCTTCGGCGAGAGCCCAGGCCTCCCGGTACCGGACAGCCAGTTTCCGGTCCCAACCTGCACACAGAACAGCTGTCGCAGGGCCGCTGCACACCCCACGGGCAGGCCCGGTCCCACCCCGCCCCTCGGCTAAGCCCGCCCGAATCCAGCCCAGGAAGGCGTCCGGGGGTCTGGGAGCCCCCTCCGTCAATGGCAGCTCCCACTCGGGACCCCTGGGTAGCCGGACTCCGCCCTCTACTGACGCGGAGTGGGGCTCCCCTCGGCCCACCTGACGCGCCAACTCTGCTCACCTGGCCCCAACTGCCCCGCCTGCCTCCACGACGCCCAGCCAGTTGGGTTCTCGCGGGAGCACAACCCGCAGGATCGGTGCAGTCCAATCCGAGCTGTGCCCGCGAGCCTGCGCACAGAGCCTCCCCCCCCCCCCCCCCCCCCCCGTGGCCTTCGCTGACCTGGCCGCGCCAGAGCCCGCAGCGCGCCCCCTGCTGGCCCTCGCGGGCACTACAACGCCCACGGCTGGACCACTGAACACTCTTCCTTCCCAGGGGTGTTCATACCTGTCCTGAGCGCAATGCGGGCCTTCAGGGGGGCAGGCTGCGGGGCCGGCTTGGAGTGTGGGAGCCGGGCAGGTGGGGTGTTGAGGCGCTTTGGCAGAAGATTACTGCAGGAGTCACTCGTCTGAACCAAAAGGTGAGGTCCTGGCTACCAGGTTTGTAGAGAGTGGCCGCTGGAGGGTCAGTGGAGGGAATTCAGGTGCAGACATCCCTCGACACGCAGAGCCAGACTCTGCCGCGCTCCGTTTGGTCCCGAGCAGAGCCCTCTGGCGGTGCCGTGTCGGTGAAGGCCTGGCCAGGTTGCCTGGCTCACCCCATGGCATTCAGTGTGGGTCCGAGGAGAGAACCATGTCCTTGAGCTGAACTGGGCTGAGCTGCAGGCACCTCTGTCCCGGCCTGGAGGGAGCAGCCTCGTGCTCTGAGTCCCGGGAGGCGGAGGCGTCCTTCCACCTGGGGCCCCGCCCTCCCTCCCCAGGCACCCTCCCCAGCCACCCTCCCCAGGAACCCCCTCCAGCCACCCTCCCGAGGCACCCTCCCAATGAACCCTCCCCAGCCACCCTCCCCGGGCACCCTCCCGTGAGTGGCGCCAGTGCCCGCGTGGAGTTCCGCATAAAGGCGTACTCGGTGGGTCTTACAGAACTGCAGGTGGTCACCACTTCACAGACGGAGCAGCATGATGGGATCTGAATGTTGCAGACACAGCTGTGTCCCCACAGGGATGGGGGCGTGGGACCGGGAGATGTCCGAGCCCGGTATCGGGATCCCGGTGAATGGGTAGCAAATGAGCATTTGGTGGGGTGGGCCCTGAAGTCTCCTCCTCCCCTCCTAGCGTCCTGCTAACCCACAGTACTCCCAGAAACCACTGCGCCAGAAGATTCTTCGTGGCTGTTTCACTTTTTATTAAAGAAAAAAATCAAAGAACTATAAAGTTCAGTGCGTTCACCAGGTGGCTACCACTCTGGAGGCCGTTTCAAATCCCTGTGTCGGCCAGTTATCCGTAGTGCAAGGGTCTACCGGCCTGGACTGAGCCCTGCTCTGCTGCGGGGTAGCTGATGACCTTGGGCAAGTTAACTTCCCAACTTCTGCTAACGTTCTCTTTATTAAAAAGGGGACACAGGTAACCAGCGTTTACTGAAACAGGGGGTGAGGTGTCCAGCACCGTGCCTGGCGCTAAGTGCTGCTTCCCTGCCCCGGAGGTTAGAGCCACACGTTCCCAAGTCGTGGCTCCTCCAATCTCTGTGCTCACTGTGCCCATCTCTCAGTTTTTCTCCAAGCAGGGCACCCGCCACAGTCACGTCTCTGTCCTGTGCGGGTGAGGTTGGATACCCTTGACAAATCAGGCCAGATGTATTCCTGAATCTGATAGTTATTGCAAAAGCAGAAGCCTGCCAGGCCGGCATGGCTCAGTGGTTGAGTGTCAACCTATGGACCAGGAGGTCACTGTTTGATTCCCGGTCATGGCACATGCTTGGGGTTGTGGGCTTGATCCCCAAGGTGGGGGGGTGGGGGTGGGGGGCCACACTGCAGGAGGCAGCCATTGATGATTCTCATCATTGATGTTTCTGTCTCTCTCTCCCTCTCCCTTCCTCTCTCTGAAATCAGTAAAAACATATTTTACAAAGAAGCAGAGGCCAGAAGACCAGATTGCTAACGCTTCCTTTCCTCTTGGCTCAGGACTCAATCGCACAGGACATTCTACTGCACAACCGCAGCCCTCAGTCCTCCGTGCAGGCCTGGCCCCACTCTGGTCCCAGCCCAGGCCTCAGCTCTGCCTCTCCCAGTCCTTTCCTCCAGGTCCCTTTTCTAACCTGGCTGAGAAGCCTCCTGGTTTTGCCCTCTCTGCTGCCCCCTGCCCCCAGATACCATTTCTGAATGTCCTGCGTGGCCCTGTACCGGGGTCCAGCCCCAGCAGGTCCAGGGGTTCCCAAAGGTGTGGACAGAGTCGGTGAAGAATGAATAACATGGAGGCAGCGTTCAGATGATCAGCATAGCCAGGTTCTCTCGCCAGGTTCTCTAGCCATGTTCTACCTTTATTCTCCTGTTACATCTGTATTTATACCAGTTGATTTTAATCCTAACCATTCTATTCCAAAGGTTAGGGCGTTTGTTATCTCCATTCCAAGGTCACTACTCTATTGTTCTGTTAAGCTACAAGGAAGTAACTGAAGGAGATATCCTAAGTAAAGATTATGTAGCTCAAGCATGATTGTTCATAGTTAAAGTAATTAACTACCCGCCTAGCACTTAGTTAAGGGGTTTTACTGATTTATTCCCTTCCTTAGTCCTATTAATCCCTAACTCCAGGGAAAAATCCCCACCTGGGGAAACAACCTTTCTCGGAGAGGTGCCCTTGGTTAAAACACATAGTGCTAAGAAGGGGAGCAAACATATTAAGAACAGTATGCCATATACGCCAGGTCCCTTGAAACATATGCTGTGCAGATGTTTCTTCCCTGCAGCCACTATGTCAAGCAGCAAGGATGGACCGGCTTCCGGCAGCCATGGGCTCACTGAAGATCCCTGGGAAGCTCAAATTGGGGAGCAGCAGTGACCAGCACAGAGAGGCTGCACTGACTGCAGACTGTCACTGTCTCATCTTCGCCCCTGGTCTGGACATCCAGACTCCCTCTGTGATGGACCCTGGGGGCCAGGCAAATGTCTGCTCTCTGCTAGTGTCCATTTGCTCGTCAAGTGTGAGAATTTACTACCAAAATGACCCCTCATCCCAAGCCATAGGTCTCTGGGCACAATCAGAGAGGACCCCATGCTCGAGGGCCCCCAGTCTCCAAGGCCCATGGCTCAAGTTCAGGGTTTTTTAATCTGACATGGGTCCAGAGAAGGGCAGAGAACTATGGATAAGAAACAGGGACAGAGAAAAACAAATCATTTGGGTGACAATACATCTCCACAGGCTTCACTGCGGTACAGGCCTCAGCTTTGCAGCCCATTTTATTTTTATATATTTTATTTTTTTAATCCTCCCCCAAAGATATGTTTATTGATATTAGAGAGAGAGCAAAAGAGGGAGGGATAGAGAAAGAGAGAGAGAGGCATCGATGTGAGAGAGAAACAATTGGTTGCCTCCCATATGTGCCCCAACCGGGAATCAAACCTGCAACCTAGGTGTTTGCCCTGACCAGGAATCGAACCCACAACCTTTTTGGTGTACAGGGTGATGTTCCAGCCAGCTGAGCCACCTGGCCAGGGCCTCTGGTTTATTTGTGGAGAAACTGTGGGGTATGTTCTGTGTGTTTCTCTCTCTCTGCTCAGCTTTGAGGGGCTTCACATAAGAGACTATGAAAATCCACTGTGGAGACTACAATGCCAATAAAAATCCTGGAAACTATTTTATTTAAGGGCAGAAGCACATGCACTGACCTTGCTGTGACCTGAGCCTGGGACATGGTAGACGCTTGTATACATGAACTGGGTGGTCCGTTAGTTGGCTGCTCACCCACTTTCAGAGCTGAGCCAGTCCACAGCTCTGCATGCGCACGCCACAGGGAGAGATAATCCTTAGGCTTTGCTGGGAGAGCTGCTACGTTGGCAGGCAAGCCTGCCACGAAGTCAAGTCGCAAATGCCCATGCCTATCACTCAAGCTACTTACTACATAAAACAATGATGTGGCAGAAAGTGCACTGCAAACTGCCAAATTCTGACTCTGACCTGGGTGTTTGGTTCTCTCTGCCTTGCAGCCAGGACTGCTTTGGGTTGGAAACAGGCATGGGAAACTGGAATGTCAGTCTCTCTTTTCTCACCACTTCACACCCTCCAGACTCCCCTTCTGGTATCTCTGCTGCTGGCACCCAGCTAACCCTCTGAGCTTGGCAGCTATTTTGAATGGGCCGATGTTCTGAGAGCGAATCTGTGGTTTCCCTAAGAATCCCCCTGGAGATGTGTCCCAGTGCAGTTCCTCTGCCTGGGCGAGGCTGCCTCTGGCCCACTGTTCACAACGCCCTCCCCAGGCTCCTGTCTTATATGGGCTCTCTCCTGGACACGAAAGTCTGTGCCACAATAAAGACACTAAAAGGTTTTGTGTCCCAATGAGGGCCTCTCAAAGGGAGGAAGGGCCACGCCACATAGCTCCTCAGCCACAGGAGGTGCTTTTCTGTGATTCTCCCCAGGGCAGCGCCTGTGTGAGCTGTTTGGGTCCACATCCCTCCTGCTTATTTTGCAGCTACTCCAGGCTGGGCCCTGCCTGTAGGTCCACTTGGCTATAAAAAGGACTGGTGCATCCCTACCCTAGCAAGGGTGTTGGCAGTTCACTCCTGGGCCAGTTCTCTTGCTCCTTGCTCTCCCACCAGGAGTGTTGTTTCAGCCATTGCCTCACCTTTGGGTTGCTCAGGCATGGGTCAGACACCAAGCCCTTGTGTTCCCCCCAAATTGCAGGAGGCACATGTCAAGCCTCACAAATTACCCTCTTAAAGTTGCTCTAATGGAAGCAGAGGGGCAGGGGAAGCATATCTCTCTCTCTCTCTCTCTCTCTCTCTCTCTCTCTCTCTCTCTCTCTATCTCTCTCTCCCTCCCTCTCCTTTCCTCCTCCAAAAGAGGAAACAGGTATGGAAAAGCTATAGTGTCCCAACAACTCTTTTCAGAGAACTTTTCTATTCCTGGCCTCCAGACCCTCTAAACCCTCATAGGCTATGGATGGATGATGCCCAGTGCTACTGGCTTGCTGGAGGCAGTGACTTTAGAGCATGAGTAGCTGTTAATTGGATAAAGAAGGGCGAGTGTGCCATGTGGGTGTGTCAAGCCCAGAGCAGCACAG